GTGGGCAGGGTACTCAGAATCCCAGCAGGGTTAGGAGTGACTTCAGGCTCCGAGACACTTGACTTATGTATGTACACACCTGTAATTTTAACATGTTGAAGATTGAGGCAGGAGGATCAAGAGTTTAAGACCAGCTGTGTATGAGCAAAAAAAAAAAAAGAGAGAAATAAATGACTAAAGAGATCATAACATAAAAATTCTCATGGAATATGATAAAACAGACAAATTGCCAGGCTTGGTAGTATGTGTCAGTAATCCCAGCACTCAGGAAAATGAGGCAGGAGGCTTGTTGTGAGTTCAAGGCTAGCCTCAGAAGCCTAGCAAAACCACACCAAAATAACAACAAAAGGCAACAGAATTTGCTAAAAGGTTTTAATGTGCTCACCACAAAAATGCTAAGCATGTGAGGTTATGTGTTAAGTAGTTCAGCTTAGTCATCGCATAAACTATTACATATATCAAAGCAATATGTTGTAGAGCATAAATATACATCACGGAGGGCTTCTGGGGCCAGCCGGGAATGAGTCCCTTACCATGGACTTCAGCAGTGTTTTAGACTTCTGCTGGGCCGACGTCCGCAGGATTGACACAGCATTCTAGTTTGCTTTTCCGTTGCCATGACAAACGCCTTGAACATGGGAGGAAAGAATGTATTTTACCTTACTCTTGAGTCTGTCACTGAGGGAAGTCAGGACAGGAGGGCAGGGCAGGAGCCATGGAAGAACACTGCCTACTGGCTTGCTCTCTGCTATCTTTCTTCTTCAGCCCTGGCCCACCTGCCTAGGGATGGTGCTGCCCACAGTGGGCGGGACATTCCCACATCAATCAAGACAGTTCCTCACAGACCTGACTGCAGTCCAGTCTGATGGAGGCACTTCTATTGAGCATCCCTCTTCCCAGGTGACTGTGAGTTGTCTCAAGTTGACAATAAAAACTCACCAGGAGAACCAGTAAGGGCACCATGCATCAGAGCCTGATATCTGAAACTAGATATTGACATGAGGATCATACTGGGCAGCCCCACTTGTTACAAATGATCTGAAAAGAAGTAAGCAAAGGGAAGTCCTCATCAGCTGGGTTAACCTTAGACCTGGGTTACTCATGTCGGATACCACACGTAACACATATTCAAGTGAAGTCTTAGAGCCCTACTAGGGGAAAATTATTCTTATCCTTATTTTAAGATGGGAATATAAGGCTGGGCATGCGTGGTGGTGCACACCTTTAATCCCAAGGACTCCGGAGGCAGAGGCAGGTGGGTCTTGGAGTTCAAGGCCAACTTGGTCTACATAGTAAGTTTCAGGTCAGTCAAAGCTACAGAGTGAGACCCTGACTCAAAAGAAAAGAAAAGAAAAAGAAACCCAGCCTCTCCCCCAAAAGGGTGGGGAATTAAGGCAGAGAAAGTTGCTCTGAGTCCTACAGCTGGAAGGTGGCAATGCTGTGTTCGGACCCTGTCCAGCTCTCATGTCCACACAGGCGCCCCTTCAGCATGTGCTGGTGTCAAAGTGGCCAGTGAGGTCTTAGCTATGCCCAGAGACGTCATCACAGAGGCTCCAGGGTAGACAGGGAAGGCGGGAGGATCATGAGTTCAAGGCCAGCTTGGTCTATGTTAGTACCATGGGGGCTCCTTAGCTATTGGTCCACA